GTCAGCAGTCCTCTCACTGGACGCCTGCACGGCGACCTGGTAAAATTAACGACACATCCAAGCAACCCTAAGTCACTCAAAAAGTAAATGAGCGCTTCCAGCCTCTGTCTTTTAGAGAAAAATTCTCTGTTCAGGTCCGATGGGTCGACAGAGAGGAGCCCTGTGATACAAACCCACTTGTAATCAAATCGATTTTTACCCCAAACATCTAGCCAGAGCAACAAACCACCTCCCGCCAGCGCATCCGCTATCCCTGCACACCCGTCGGCCTGAAGTATCACTAAGCAGTTGTTTTTCAGCTCTACCAACTGACCCTTTTTCAGCTTTGATGATTTCTGCTGTGTTTCGTCTATTTTTGTCTCGTCTGGCAAGCGTGGCGAGTTGTTACTCCAGTATCTGATACCACGTCCCCTGAAGCATTCCAATGGTTTGGACCCAGACCCGAGTGGCTGCTTAATACTGATTTTACGACCCTGCTGAAGAGCATCCTCCTCTGTTTTGCACATACTTTTATAATTTTGAATGCAGCTCAAGTAAAAATAAAACATTTTTTAACAAAGTGCCTAAATAACACAACCACAGGCTGAAGCTACACAGAAGGAGCAAAATTCTGACTTCAGAAGACCAATAAAAATAATTGGACTCAGGGTCCAGCCAGCAATTTTTGTGTTTTAAGTATTTCTGAGATTCCAGCTTAAACTGATTTTTCTTCCCCAAAATTATATCCAGAAGGAAGAGTTCTGGAGGCAGAAACTTATGGTTATGCTTCGTAATCTCCCTCTCGTACTCTCCAACCAGCTACTCCTGTGAAAAAGGGGTACTTCCTAGGCTCCAAAGAAATTAAAAAAACGTCATTAAATTTCTTCACATATGCCTAATTATGATAGCAGGTAGAAAATATATATACGGGGGGTTAATGTTCAGCCCTTTCTAAAACTCAGTATTTAAAAAGGCCTTCTAGAAAGCTAGCTGCATGTGAAGCTGCAGCTACGGATTTCAGCTTTAGATTGAGATTTTCTGCAGCAAGCCAAGACACTTCCCCATTAGCTACTGTTACGATAACCTATTAATAATTATTTTCATCTGGAAAACATGTTTATTTGTTGTTGTTATTTTTTTTATTTTTATTTTTTTTAAATGTTACGTTCTACAAAGAAGATAGTTACTAGGATTAATGATTCCATGAGGAAAATATGTAATGCTTACTGAGCCACGAAGCTTGCCCTCTCCAAAATAACTATTTATTTTTAATTTTATCCAATGAACTTCCAGGGCGTCAGGCTTTTTGCATCGGATTTATTTCATCATAGTAACCTAAACTGGTTCATTATACATTTAGAAAACAGGGTGCTCTGCATTAGCAGCATTTTGAAGTTTGAAACTTTTATGAATGGAGGGAGAAAAATAAAGATTTTTTTTTTTAACCATGTAATCATGCAAGAGGGTCTGAGATTGGCTGAAGTTTTAAACTACATTTTTCTTTCAGAAATTACTTACTCGGGCTTACAAGCCAGACAGGCAGGTTTTCCCAGTAGCATTCTCAAACTAGGGTGAGGAATAGTAATTCTGGGCCCCAGCCAATTCCAATGTAAATCTGTTTTGTTCAGGAAAGCCAGCCAAATTGCTTTTATACAACATCTTGCTGTTTCGGGAGACCTGTGATATTCTCAGCTCCCAGTCCTGGTGTCAAGAAAATAAAGTGCTTTTTTTTTTTTAATTATTATTATTATTTTTAATTCTGAATTCTAGGCACAGCCAGAGCAGCACAGGGTCACTTCTTGCTGGTAAATATGAAATAAGCACTGAAATGCTGATTAGTTCTTTACGTTGCAGCCAATATTTGGTTTATGTGTGTGCTTTGACAGACGCACAGGATCAGACCTCTGAATGGAGTAAATTGTTGTAACTCTTATGGTGAGAGGACAGCCACTTATGTACTAGGATGGGGATGGGGACAATAGCTTTATGCAAGGGCGTTTGAAACAACCATCAGGCTGTCTTGCTAGACCTTGCTCATTTAAAGCTCACAGAATAAAGATTTAGACCATTTATCAAGACGACAATTTTCTGCTCTTTTAAAAGAGAGAGGGAAGTGGCTTGCCGACAGTTCCGCAAGGCTTTTAATGGGGCTGTTTACAGCTGAGCGGCAGCCGACGTTTAGGGAAGAAAAGCGAGGTACGGACCGGGACTGTCACTCAGCAAAACCATTCCTTATTCTCCAGCAGTGATTTTAAATCACCCAAGGTACACAAATAATGTCCACTATGACTGCAACCGACGTGAACTTTCAGTCGCTATTCATATAATATTCCTGGCATCACACTATCACTGGTGGCAACTGAACTTATTCAAACTCAAATATTACACAGCAAACAAAGTTTCGGTTAATTTTCCTCTTGCAAAGTATCAAAGGAAGCAATGCCCTTTGAAGCAGCCACCTTCTGCTTCAGGCTTTATACAAATTCAACAGAACAGCACCCCAGAAATCATGTACCAAATGCAAACAATCCACACCTTTGGAAAACAATCCCCTGTTAGAGGAGTAAACACAGGCATACATTAGTCACTGGCTCCAAAGATGGGCGGCCAATGGGGCTTGGGAGATTTGACCTCCGAGACTGACTAACAGCATGCAGCGCTCCCAAATCACTGCTGCTGAGATGATCCCGAGCACCAGAGCACCACACAGCACAGGACATCTATGTCCACACACACGTGTCCATGGCTGAGTGCTGGCCGGTGAGGGGCTGAGCGAGGCTCCCCGCAAAGCCCTTCTGCATGAATAGCCACTGTTCTCCCCCCCCTTTCCCTCCCTCCGCCGCTGAATTTTGACCTTGAAAATCCCACAGTTCACTGTTGTGATTCCTAGCTTCGCTGCCGTGGCCAGGAACTGAACTACAGGTTTGTTTTTATTAGCTTCTCAGCCACTTTGCCAGCTATTCATTTGAATCTTCTAAACAGTCATCTCTGAATCATAATGCAAATTCCATTTACTGAAAAGGTGGAACCTTTAATATAACAAATGAACACGTTTAATGACTGATACTTTTAGACATTACAGCATCTCTCATGTTTTCAGTAAATGGATATAATTTTCTCTGCATTACCCTATTATTATTCTTTGCTAGCATTACGAAGCTACGTTCTCAGCTGCGGGTGTTTTCCACCAAGTACATTTTGAAGACAGTCCAAACAACACGATTTGAAAGACATCTCCCTCTGTATCCTCAGCTAAAAATGCTGCTGGATACTGAGGGATTGGATGGGTATTTTATACTTAAAATGTATTTGCTGCTTGCGTCCGTGTTTTCACAGCGCCATATTCTTCCAAAATTGCAGGCTGCATTTACACTGGAAGAATATCCTCAAATGCATTTGACTTCAAAGGCAAGTAGAAGCTGTTGCGTATAATCAGAATGACTTCCTCAGCCTAAAGCCTGACCCATCTGCCACTGGGAGTAAAAGGTTTTGAGAAAGAGAGCAGAAGTGGGTCACCTTTGCAATGCTCCTGAAGTGTGTTTGCTGTAAGTCGGTGCGTGTTTGTAAGAGCCACGCATGCCACCACGCACCAGGACATGGCCCAGATGCTCAAAGAGTGACTACATGGGAGCAGAAGGTGCTGAGGAAGGGTCAGCCTACCCCAGGGTATTCAATCTGGTCATGAGAGACAGCAGCTCCCAAATAGCTCCAAAAGGCAGAATAAAGAAACCTATTTAGGTGCCGTAGATACTATCGCTTTGATTTGTGAATGTTACAGCACTGAATTGTCCTGAAACAACAATGTTGTCTTTGGAACACCGTGATGTTATGTTCCGATTTTACTTGAAGATACGAACTAGACAAAAGGAAAACACATAAGTAAATACCACATGAAGTCACATGGAAGACGTGACAGTTTTTCAATCTTGACCTTAAACCAAAGAGGCCGATTGTTTCTCTGTGCTTCTTCCAAGCAGCAGCTCACCGGTTTCAGTAGGTTTGCTTTAACCACTCTGGCCACGCAAAGGCTCTCCGCTCACAGGAGCAAGGGCAGTAATGCAGGAGGAGCACTTCAAATAATCTTGTAACAGAAACGTAAACACGATTGCTTGGAATTTATGGTTTTTGAGATTATGGGCTTGAGCCAAAGAGCAACATTACTACAAAGGGTCCTTCTGTTGATGTTACGGGATTTTGGATCACGCTTTACACGCCTGTTCACACACACGATACGTGAAACGCACATGCGAGACACTATTTGCAGCTTTCTAACAACATTTACATATAGTTACAGTCTAAGTCAGCTTTGGCTCTTGTTACTCAGACTCATAATGCCTTTCTATTTGTACCAGTAATTCCTGGTTATCACAGAGATGCAGGAAGTCTGACATTAAGCTCATCTATTTGGCTCTGCTCTGTCCTACCTACCCCATCCTATGCACCTTGCAGTAGTAGTACATTAAATGCCTACTGTATAAGGCTCTATGGCTATTCCAGAGAAAGAAAGGTCAGAAGAAGTGCCCTATCCCTTCATCACATTGTGGTGAAGCCTGAAAAAAAAATTAGATCTATGTGGGAATTATTTGTAATTTTAGGTTGACTCATGCTGTTGCAGAGACCAGGTTTTGCAGAGTGTGCCTGTGAGCCCTGAGACAGTCACAGTTCTCCAGACAAGCTGAAAAGTCCTATTTTAAATTGAAAATGTGTTATTTAAACTTAAACATGTGTAATATTGTGCTGTTCTAAAGTGGCATGGAGAATTCTGTAGTCAAAATGAGGCTCACTGTCCGTGATTTTTTTTAAATGAGATTTTACTGTATAGAAATTGAAATAACATGGACGGCAGGCTAGAAGACAACAAGAAAAACACATAGCTGGCTCTGTACCTTTGGAATTGGCCTAAATCAGATCTCCCTACTGCCGAAAACTCTACATACCCCACATTCAAATTCTCTCTGCGTAACCAGAACTTGACATAGCCGGTAAAGATGACTGAACTGCAGCTGTGAACAAATACCTACCTCTTCCACTTCTACCCACAAATCTGAGGTCGTTGAACCTTGCTACTTGGTTTTTCATGGCAGCTGTTGCATTTCTGAGTTCTGCGGAGTAGTTTTCATCATTTCCAGCCATTACCGTCACCAGCGTCCCATCGGGCACGTCTCCCAGGGCTACCACCTGTGGAATCAAAGCGCAGGATCCTCAGCTTCCTCATGCGACATTTATTTTCAGGCACAGAACGCCAACAATTAATGTGATAAAATAGGAAATAGCAGCAACAACAGAAATAAATGGGGACTAAAAGCCATTTGGGGAAAACCGAAATCACTTCCATTACTACCTTGCAGAGTTACGGCCACATTTTTACATTGACGCGCGCCCGAAATACGAAGTATAATGTGCAACCCAGCATGAAAAATACATGAAATCAACTTTCCAAAATATACTTCTGTAATTGGCAACAAACAAATTCAAGTAACAGGAATTGATTTTGATCTGATTTACATCAGTGGCACTACTTTTAAGCTACAGCAAAGTCATGTAAATGTAAAATTCAAGAGAAAACAAAACCAAGGCAATCATCTCACGGACACTGAGGGTCAAATTCCCCACAGTTGCGCCAGTTCTCTCTCTGCTCATCCCACCTATCTGAATACATAAATTCAGAGTAAGTACATGAACAAACAGGCCTCAACCAAATGCTTAATTGCAACTCACTAAACATTATTTTTTTTTCATTTGGAAGCATGAAAGCATATCATTGACTTAAGAATTCACCTGTAGCCTGGTGGATGGAAATTGCAATCTGAACTAATGAAACCTGCAGCAGCTCAGCAGCTTTCACCTCATTTTAAAGGCTTGCATTGTAGCTCCTTACCACTAGCATCTATCAAACAAATATTCAGGAACCCAGGATTCACTGCATTTTTGACATGATGCTCTGGGAGATGTATGGATTTCGAACATTAATCAGTCTGGCTTGTATCTGCAACATTCACACTGGTAAAACTAATAAAAATTTAATTTTATCTTATCTTATTGAGCAGGACTGAATTCCCAACACAGTTTTACCTGGCTATTGCCCTGCATTGAATGGATGTCTGATGCGTCTCTTGATTTGCTCTGGCAAAAGTAAGTGCTTGAATCGGGTCCTCTGTCATAGTTTTTCTTAGAACCTGCTGCTCTTGTTAAGAAGTTCCCCCAGTTAAGTCTACTGTAGTGCAGTAGTGATCTCAGCACCACTATTACCAAAAAGAAAAAAAAAAAGAAAAAAAAAAAGAAAGAAAAAAAAAGAGGAAAAAAAAAGATCTAGCTTGTTTTTATTTCCTCTTTTACATATTCTAAGAGGAAGTAGTCCTGCACCAGGTCCTCTGAGTTGCTGCTTGATATTTTTCCTTCCTCTTAGCATTTTCTAGCTTACGTCCATGCAGTTATAATTGGTTCCAACTTGTCACAGCCTGGTCTGATTGCTATTAGTTTTCCAGACAAGATCAGCAGCCCCTTTACTTAATCTGTCTCTGACGCTTATTTCCCAGTAATAAGCTATTTTCCCCAATAAGACAAGGGTCCCGAGCCTCTGGTATTTTGGACTCTCTCCTTTGCAGGGGCTTCAGTGTCATTTCAGTGTCATTTGTCACCTATAACCCTTATTTTCACTTCCACATACGAAGTTAAAATCACTGTGTCAAAATTCCCTCTTTACGTATATATTTCAGCTTCCTCTTTCCCATTCCTCTGCAGCTCAGACTTTTGTTTCTTGTTCTCCTCTGCGTGCCGTAAGCCATTCCTGTGGCCTGTTCTGTGCTCAGCGTTCAGCTTTTCCAGTTCTCCTGATCTTCGCATAAAATAGTCCCCTCTCAAAATGTTTGATCTAATGTTTTCTCCTTCCACAACATTGTGTAACAAGGCACGCTGTCTCACAAGATCAGCCGCCGTGAACCTGATGCACTTTCCCGGTTCATAGGAAGTTATCAGAAAACCTTAATTCAGGCACATATATTAAAGACAGAAGAAAGAGAAAGGGGAAAACCTGGGCATTACCCTCGCCTCCCTCTGATGCAAATGCGTGCCTGCTCACTTAAGGAAATACCTGCTAGCATTTTTAGGGATGAAAAAACCTTCACGAAACCAGGGTCAGTTGTCTCTTACCGAACAAATATTTAAAACCACCATTTTCAAATTACACTGAAGGCAACCTTGTCGATAAGAAACGCAAAGAAAATATTAGAAACAAATGCTACAAAAATGCGGAGTGCGGAAAAGAAACTAGAGTTAAAAGTCACAAACAATAGAAACAGAAATACAAACATTTACATTGGAAAAAAGACTGGACAGATAAGTTGGGACTTGGTGACTGGCATTATCTAGTACCCTGTTGCACTCTTAAAAATACAGATTTCCAGAGAAGTGGGAAGTTGCAGCACTGACAGCTATCTGAATTACTTGCTGCTGGTGCATCAATCAAACAAAATTGGCCTTTTAAATTGAGATTTAGATTATTTCCAAGAAGCACTTGGAAAATGAATCTGTACGGCACTTTATTAGAGTTATGCATTTTTCTCTAAGTTTTCCCAGAATCGTGCTATATTATAGAAAAAAAGTAATGCACGGGAATGACCGTTTTGGTCGGGAATAATACTCTGATCCTACAGATCGAATAGAACTAGTGATTTTTGGTAAGGAAACGCGAGAGGAAACTCTCTGTCTCCCTCTTCATATCGATGCAATAGCTGTGAGCAAACACTTAATAAAGTTCAGTGCTTTTTTCCCCTTTTTCTTTCTTTTTTATTTTGGTGTCAGGTGAGAATAAGACATTGGCAGCCCGGGAGCGAGCGGACTCGCTTAGTTTCGGCACGATCCAAACCCTCTTACGATTCGAATCGCCTCGCGATCTGTGTCGCGACTTTCCCAACGCCGGCAGCAAAGGGGGGTCCCGCTTCAGGGGAGCGGTTGTGGGGTCGGGAGCTGCTCGCAGTCCCCTTCAGCCGGCCCTACGGGGACGCCCTCCCGTTTTTGGGGTTTTCTCTCCGCGGTCGCATCTCTGCGCTCGCTCTCGCCTTCTCCGCAGGACCCGAGGCTGCGGTCGGGCGGTGGCCGTCCCGTGTCCCGTGTCCCCCGGCCACGGCCACGCGTGGCAGACCCCCCGGCAGCGGGGGACCCTCCGGAGCGGGCACATGCGGGGCCGGGGCCAGAGGAGCGGGGTTTCGCCCCGGTTTCTCAGGCAGCCGCTGTGCCTTCCAGGAGGAGAGCTTCCCGAGCAATTAGCAGCACTCGCCCGCTGCGTGGGTGCCAGGGCAGTAATTAATAGGAACGCGGGAATTTAGGAACTGGCCCTGCCGATGAGTGCCTGCCTTCCCCCAGACTTGTCTCCGCGGGAACCAGAAGGCTCTCCGGACACGGCACAACTTTTCCCTAACGCAGCGCTTCCCAAAATCTCGGGAGCTGGGCTGGTTGCCTTCTCTCACTTTCCTCCTCCCCCAAAAAATGAAAGACCGGGGGCTGCCCTCCTTCAGCCAAGCCGTGCCGAGGCGGTGGGGTGCAGCAGCGACGGGAGCAGGCAGCACAAAGCCGACGATTCCCCATCACCCGTCCCAACTCCAGCCTTCGGGGCTTTCGGGGCTCCCGCCTGGGAGAACGGGGTGGCGAGGGGACAATTACCTTGTATTCTTCCCCGGCTCGGATGCACAGCTACAGCGGTAGCACGAAGGGCAGCGCATTCAGCCAGAGATAGGCCGAAGTGGGGAGAAAAAAAAAAAAAAAAAAAAAGGAAAAAAAAAAAAAAAACGAGCAAGGGGAGGGGGTGAATTTAGCCTGAAGCCGGGTAACGGGAAAGCAGGCCGGGGGAGGGAGGGATGTGCAACGAAGCGGCCGCAGAAGGCAACGGAGGGTAGGCCCCGAGAGTTACTACTCAAACCATCCCAAATAGTAACAATAATTAAAAAAATGTATTTGTTATAATTATTATTTTAATTTTCTCCGCAGCCACCGGGGGCTGCCGCCCGGAGCTCCGGGCCGCCCGCCACGGGCAGCGCCTGCATCTGCTCCCCTGGGCGGCCAAACTTTTAGTGTTTGGACATTTATATATACATACATATATCTAATTTTAACTTTTAATTTATTTTTTCAGAGTTACGGGAGAGAGGCAGCGGCCGGGGGGTGCCCGCCCGTCCCGCCCGCACCCGCTCCGCTCCGCGGGTGGCTGCGGCGGGCGAAGGGAGGGAGGCTCGGGGCTGTCCCCCCCCGTGTGTCCCGTCCTCCCCCGTGCGTCCCGTCCCCCCCGTGGGTCCCGCGAGTCCCGTCTCCCCCCCGCGTGGGTCCCATCCCTCCCCCGGCCGCCCCGTGCCCCCCGGGATCGCGCTGCCGGGCGGGCGGCAGGACGTACCTTGAAGGCGATGGGCAGCGTCTTGTTGCAGCGCCAGTGGGTGGGCAGCACGGAGCAGAGGAAGTTGGGGCTGTCGGTGCGCACCAGCTCCCCGGGGTGATCCGCCAGGACCTCCACCATGCTGCGGTCGGCGCTGCGCAGCTTCCCCGCCAGGGCGCCGCTGTGCTCGGCGCCGGGCAGCGGCAGCGGCTCGCTCATCTTCCCCGGGCTCAGCGTGGTGGAGGGCGGCGTGAAGCGGCGGCTGGTGCTGGTATCTACGGGGATACGCATCACAACAAGCCTGTTGAGTGAGGGACCTCCACAGAGTTCTTACCAAGCAGCCAAGCGAGCGTAACTCTTCGGCGAGCCGCTCTCTGGGGACCAACATAAACGGATACGGGCTGAGCACCCGGGGGAAACTCGGTTCTACGCCAGTCCCCAAAGTTTAATTTTTTTTTTTTTTTTCTCTCCTCTTTGCCGAACGCGGCTGCGGCAGCGAGCACGCCGAGACTTAACTCTTGGCTTCCCGGTGCCGCGTAGAGGTGGCGTTAATCCAGTAAGAGAAGGGGTCTTCGGTGCGGGGCCGCCCCGCCGCGCCCGGGCATCGAGGGCTTTGGCGTGGCCAAAAGTTCCCGCAGGGCACGCTCCGGGAGGGCTCCCCAGCAAAAGCTACGCGAGTGGGGTGCAAGCCGGGAGCAGGAGAAAGCCGGGCTTCCCGGGGAGGCAGCTGCCTAGCGCTTTCTTCCAGGTGGCTCCTCTACAGTCCCGGGGGGAAGCGGAGCGCATCAGCGTCTTGCGGAGGCGAAAGTCGCTCTTACGAGCAGCGAAACGCGGGGTCGGTCTCGGGCTTTGTGCTCAAAGGTCAGCCGGCTGGCACCGCACAGACATACCCACGCAGGCACACACACACCGCGTACACCGCGCTTCATCAAACATTTACAGGATCATCTGCGGAGGATTTAACCACGCCGGGAATCCATTAACGTGCTCTGCAGGGTTTTGGTTTTAAGCAGCCTTGGGAATCGGCCTCAGTAGTTTGGTTTGCGAGCGCTCGTGGCATGACCCCTCAATAATTCTCGCGGAAAAAAAAAAAAAAAAAAAGTTTAAAAAATAGTAATAAAAAAAAAGAAAAATGAAAAGCTCAGTGCATGGCATTCAAGCTTCAGATCTCTCTCTGTGCACTTGTCTTTGGTGTAACGCCTGCCATGAACGCAAGGAAAGGTCGCAGCCGCTCACGAGCGCTGAGGCTGAGAGGTCCACATCTGAGAAGTTGGGTTTGGGGATGTTGGTTAAATTGTGGGTTCTCCCTGCGGTTTTGTGTGTGCAACAGCGCTCTCTCTCTCTCACTCACGTTCCCCTCAGCAGACAAACCAACAGCCTGCAACAACTTCGAAAGTCCATTGCCAATTAGTATTAGTATTAGTATTATTTTTTTTTTTTTTCGGTATCTGAGGCAGCCTTCCTCTAATCCGGCCGCAGGAGCCGGCTGCTCACCAAGCCTTTAACCGCAGCAGGTGGAAGCCTGCTCTGGGAAGCATGGCTCGCCTCCCCCAGCGGGGTGGATGGGGGCTGGCTGCGGGCAGAGCCCCCGCACCCGGCCAAGCGGCGGCAGCCAAAAAACACCCGATGGCAAAAAAAAAAAAAAAAAAAAAAAAAGCAAGCACCCCGGGGAGCGGGTGTGGGGGCAGCGCCGCTAACCCCTAGGCGGGAAGGAAGCGACTAGGGGAAAAAAAATAAAAAAAATAAAAAAAAAAAAAAGGAAAAAAAAATTAATAAAAGCCAACAAAACGAGAAAGTTCCCAGGCAGGGTCACAAGTCACAGCCTCCAGCCCAGACGACGGCTCGGGATAAAGCACATTTCCACAGCGGGGTCTTCGCAAAGCTTCCCACGGCGCCGGCACCCCTCGGCTCGCTGCCGCCCTTTGCCCCCCGCGGTCAGCCCGGCCCGGCTCGGCCCGGCTCGGCTCGGTTCGGCTCCGCTCGGCCCGGTTCGGCTCCGCTCGGCTCCGGCGCGCGCCGCCGGGATGAATGGAGGAGGCGCGCGGCGGGCGGCGCGCGGAGGAATGTCATCCCCGCGGCTGCTTTGCATACGGGCGGCGCGGCGGCCAATCAGCGCCCTCCCCGCCGGCAGCCAGGGCGCGGCCGCGGGCCAGGGGCTCCCGGAATTGGCGCGCCCGCCGCCGCCGCCGCCGCCGCCGCCGCTACTGTGCGGGCAGCGCCCGGCCGGAGCGCGCCCCCGAGCGCGCCCCCGAGCGAGCTCCGGGACCCCGAGACCCCCGGAGACCCCCATCCTACCCCGCCGTCCCGGTGCGTTACACCGGAGCGATGGCGTGGCTGCCCTTTTTTTTTTTTTTTTTTTTAATCATTATTACCGTGATTTACTCATTTATTATAATTTTGTGCGCTGGAGTTCCGATATCCCCCGGGAAGGGGGGTTTGGGGCTCCCCCGGGACGAGGAGGGCTCGGTCCCCGCACCCGCTGCAGCTCCGCCGCGGGGCCGGCAGAGGGGGCCCGCCGCCTGCCCTGGGCGCTCCGCCGCCCGCAGCGGGGAGCGGGGCTGCGGGACGGCTCCGCCCGGCTCGGCACGGCTCGGACCGGCACGGGGAAGCCCCCGGTGTCACTCCTGTGCGTCGCCGTGATTATTCTTACCGTTATCATCCTTCTTATTATGTATTTTTTAACTCCGTCTTCACTCCCCGCCACCAGTTGCGCCCCGCCGAGCGCTCGCTCGGTGGAAATTCACCCCGGGGTTTAAGGTTTAAGTCATTGCGGGGATGTTTTCTGCCGGTGGGAGGAAAAAATAAAGTCGGACGGGCGAATGGCTGGTGGAAACTGCCGCTTGGAAGCCATCTGGGGTGTATTAGGGGCTGGTAACTTTTTACGGGCATTACAGAGATAAGAAGAGCTATTTCGGCGATGTGCACATAGCCATATACATCGCCTAAAACGCTAAAAGACGCATATAGTGTTTGGGTTTTCTTTTTCTTATTTTCTTTTCCTTTTTCTATTCCCGCTTTCTTTTCCCTTTTATTTATCTTTTCCTTTTTCTTTCTCCTTTCATTTCCCTTTCCCTTTTCCTTTTCCCTTTCCATTTCCCTTTTCTCTTTTACTTTTTCTCTTTCCCTTTTCCCTTCTCTTTCTTTCTGCTCTGCTTCTCCTATTTTAGTCAAGAGGTAGGGAGTATTTTCTATTTAAATTAATCAATATATGAACTATAAATTCCAATCAGTGCTTTGCATCCTTTCTCAGTCTGAGCTCCTTTAGATATATACAAAATAAAGCCGTTCTATTACACACGTGGATGGTCAGAAAAATACAAAATGCCCCAACTTAACAGAAGTCGGAGAAAATATTTCATGCTTACACTTTTCTGTAACTTAGTTTACTTTTTAATTATTTTTTTTTTATTATTATTTTTTTATTAACTTAGCAGCCTTACCAGGGCTGAGGTGAGGGATGTTAATCTCGGCTGCAGGTGACTGTATTGTTATTTAACTGCACAGAACCACGCTTTTACCAAGGTAAGCTAAGGAGTTAAGTAAGAGAGGGCAGGAAGGGAAAATACGGTGGTGAGGATATTTCAATACAGATCGAGCCGTCTGTTTTACATACCCGTTAACACTTACGACAGGTGGGGGGAGGTGTCTATTTATTTATTTTTTAATCTAACGCAGTCTGTCATCTTCCTTATAATTTTATTTTTGCATGACAAAGAGAGGAGCTCTTGCAGGGATTTGCTACCCCCTTGCTGTATCTTGAGCAGTCACTGGAAGGATGGGAATTAATGAATGAAGCAGCTCGCAGGGATACCCGTCATTAGGCAAAGTAAGGAAATGAGGCAGGGTATTTAAAGTCGGTATTTCTTCTCACATGCTAAGACTTTTCGGCATCCCCAGTGCCAAGACTTGTGCTCGGACAGTCAGTCCTTTGTGCAAGAATCCCTTTGAAGCAGGAATCACAACTGGTATTACACCTTTACCCATTCACTTACAGCGCTGCTCACGTTTGTATTTTGACATCAATTTATTACGGCCGTAAACAAACCACAACTGAATCTCTATCTACCATGCATTGCCTCTGTCGTACGGGATTACTAGACCACAAAGCACCGAGCTTTTTACATAACACAGTTAAAGCAAAAGCTTCGGAAATAAGAGAGAGGGAGCAACACTTTAGGGATGAATTTTAAACAGCTTAAATTGCAAGGGGAGAATTACAGCCTGAGCACACCGCACATGCAAACACTCCCTGGCCAAACAGGCAGAAGTGGACACTTGTTTGAAATGGTTTGAATTTGTGCAGGGCGAGAGAAAACTTGAACGAGGAAGGCAGCAGGACGTTTTGTTAGAGGAGAAAAAATGCAGACCGTAACGGAGCTGGCATACACACAACGTGAGCGCAAACTGAAAGAACTGGCTACAGACCCTGATCTTGCCAACACTTAGAAACATGCCCAACCTCATTCTTAGCAACCTTCCTGCCGCGTGCAACAGAAATCTCGTCAGGGAATGCAATCGTGCACGCACCGGGCTTAACATCTGGGCTTAACGTGGCATTATTCCGTGGGTCAGCTCCTACCGCTTGCACCTGAATGAATTTAGTATAAGTATTTAGGCCCTCCTGAAGATACTTATAGTGGTGTGAGAGTGCCTTGCTTCTGCTGGTGGTGAATCAGGGGGTTAATGCTTGGAAATGAAATCTGTGGGATTAGGCTTCTGAGTTGCCCCTGCAAGTATTTATAGCATAACAGTTACCATCACGGGTAATTCCAGTGACTGACAGGGAAACTATTGCTGTAGTGATATATTAAATTATTTTGGTGCTGGAATAATGTTTCATTATTCCAGTAATTCATTATTCCAGTAATTAAACATTGGACAGGGAAAAGCAGCAGCCTGCAAGTAAAAAGGTAAGGTGCTCCTTGTTTCCTGCAGTGATCTCTCGCGCAGAGAAATGCAAATGTTTCATCCCAGCGCGTGAAGCTTGGGTACGATGCCACCGAGAACGAGATGTGAGATGGCCAGTGTGATGCCAGGGAATTTGGCTCAGTGGGCCAGGACTTCACAGGTGTGTGGAGTCTAACTTTGCTCCGTTTCAGGGAGGGGGGAGTGCCTAAACCCCGCAGGGTTTTTTGATCTCTGTTAACAGATCCAAGGTTATTCTCTCTGGAAGAGGGAAAACTGGCTGCAGCTCGGATTATACATAGCAGAGGGGTTGTGATGAACAATGAAATACCACATTTTCATTCGATACCTGTAGCCTGGACATCTGATT